CCCCCGCGGAGAGCTGCCCGCCTCGGCCAGTCAGAGACGTGAGAGGCCAGAAGAGCGTTGGTGAAGCAAAATCCGACCCCGCTCTGTCTGCTTCCTTCTGCCTTGCCTGGTCTTCACGGGTCGTCCCTTTCTACCGTTGCTGATGGCTCGGGGCCTCACGAGCTGGCAGTGGGCCGGGCCCCCGGGGCCTGCGCCCGGGCTCCTGAAATGGGGCGTTTCCAGAGGTCTGAGTTCTGGCTTCTGCGCGGCTCTTTCAGTGTCGTGTATTCAGGCTGAATTGGCATGTGAAGTCCCACGCGAGGGGCGCTGCGTGGCCGGTTTGGTGGCAGTCTCTTGGGCTGAAGCGTGGCTTGCTGGGGAGACCCGGGTGAGCGTCCGTGGCACAGTCTGATGGTGTTAACTCCGTGTCCGTTGCATCTGGCAGGCTTGGCAAATCGCAGCCCCCGCCAGAGTCCAGGTGCCATCTTGGTTTCCACTTCCCCTTCGCCGCAGGCCCTCGCTAATCTCACCAAGTCCCCACAGCGTGCAGCCTGCTGCCAGTGGGAACGGGACACGCCCCAGCCCAGTGGTGGCTCCCCCTGTGCAGCCCCTCATGGCCCAGCCGTGGGATGTGGTGGCAGACCTGGGGCCTGCGCTGCTTGGCGTGGCCCAGGACCATGCTGGGGGGGAAATGTCTGACTGGACCTCGTCCTGCGGGTGCCCGAGCCGGGCGGGTGGGCAGGTCAGAGAGACTTGCCGGGCCGCTCCCTGCAGATTAGCTCAGGCAAGCGCCAGGCAGGGATGAAAAGGGACCTGCGGCCAAGGACACGGAGGTGCCCTGTTTAGCAGAGCAGGCCGAGCGCACAATGGGGAGCGAGGGAGCGTCTCGCGCAGGTGCCAAGGGGAGAAGAAACGCTGCTGGCGCGGTGCCCAGGCCAGTCTGACAGGGATGGGAACCGGGGAGAGCGTGTCACGCCGATCGCTTGTGCCCTGCTTGCTCCGGCTGCGCCCCTCCCGCCCCGTTACCCCGAAGCAACTCGCATGCGCAGGCCTGTCCTGGTCCACTCCTCAGCCCAGGCCGCTCCACAAGGGCATCCTGGGACACTGGTGCCTTGTTCTCGTGCGATGGCCAAGGGGACTTGTGCTGCTCTCGGGGGCGATCCCGGGGGGCTGGGCTGCCCACGGAGGCAGGAGAGCAGCCCTGGGAAGCAGGGCAGCCCCTCGAGGGTTTTCCCCACGCGCCTGCGGAGCTGCAGATCCATTTCCCGCAGTGGTTTTTAAGCAGGTGCCTGGAGTGGAGACCCAGCGGGCTGGCCAGTGACTCAGGTCTTCGCAGTCAGTTGTAAGGCCAGGAAGGGGGGTCCCCCCCCCAGCACGGTGCCTCGACTTCCCGGCACGGAGCGGGGGTGCGCCCCTCTCGGCTTTTCCTGGAGGAAAACCACGTCTCTCTGAAACCCCTCTCTGGGGCAGGCCGGGTTTTTGGCGCCCCAGGGACTGTGTTCGGGAGGCTGGCATGCCTCCCCTCGCGCCTGTTCTAGGTCTGGCGCTCTGCCACCGCCATCCACCCTGCTCCCACACTTTGCCTCTTTCAGGGCGAGGTCGTGAGCTTTCCTCCTTCCCCGGCCTCTCCAGCTTGCTTGAGAAGCCCCCGTCCCGCCCCCTGACTGGGTTTGTCTCCGTGGGCCTGGGCGGCGCTAGCCAAGCTGCCGAGAGCTGGCACCGCGGCAGCCTCAGAAAACAAAAGTAAGAGAGTCTAGGCCCGAGTCCCAGCCAGACTCCACTTCCCAGCAGGCGGAAGGGCCTGGAATCCCTGTCGGGGACCAGCGCCCGAGCAGTGCCGGCTGGGATTCCCTGGGAACAATGGCAGGATGTGGGGTTCTGCGGTTACTGCACCCGCTCGCCGCCTTTTTACTTCCTAACGCCTCCCTGGCCAAGGCCCGTCTCCAGAGCGGGAGGCAGCTTCCTCTCCTCCCGGGCAGGCGGGGCTGGGCCCCCGAGGGCGTCGCCGGGAGCTGCCCGCTGGGCGCCTCTGGGCTGCAGGTCCAGCGCCCGTCAGGACGTGAGGGGCCGGCTGTGCAGCGGGGCCGGCAGGGCTGAGGAGACTCATGGAGGCGCTGCAAGGGACTGGTTCCCAGGACCGCGGGGGTTGCGTAGTCCAGCCCTCTGCCGAGAAGCCGGAGTGACTGATAAAACCCTCCCAGGCACGTGGCTCCCCAGCCTGCCCGCGCCTCCCGCCTCTCTGCCGTCGCCCGGCTGCGGGCAGCTTTCCCCTGCGCGGTGCCGGTCGGAGGGAGCCGGGTTCGTCCGGATCCGCGGAGACAGTCCTGAGTCCCGAGGCGCTTTGGAGCCTCACGGCTTTGTCCGGGCAGAAGCTTCTGTGGGCAAAAGCCAGGCCCTGCTCCCACCCCCGTTGCCCCCTCGCCCGAAGGCCCCTCCCCGAGCAGCGGGAGGCGGGGGGTTACTGGGAGGCTTGGCGTGGGTGACAGGAGGGGTTGGTCCCCCCCCTCCAAGCTCCCCCTGGGTGGCAGGAAGCGGAGCCCCACACCAGACTCCCGGGTGATTCCCCAGCTGCCCTGGGGCCGGCCCATAGGAAGGCTGAGGCAGCCGCCATGGGCCTGGGGTACCTGCCGCGAACTGTCCTCTGGGCGGGACGCCTGTGGCTGCCCGTGCGTGCAGACGCCCTGTCCCTTTGCAGGGCTCCTGTGGCGCCCAGCCCCCTCTCCAGGACTTATCGCTGGGCCTATCGACGGCTCCCATTGTGCTGGCTGCACAAAGCCCCAGCCAGGGACGGGGTGTGCTTACAACAAGGGCAGCCGCAGAACAAAGACATCGAGGCTTGCATTGTCACGGGGCCGTTACCGTCCCCGCCGTTGCCATGGACACGTGAATTCCGTTTCCCACCCTCCCGCTCTCTGGGCTGCAGCCGCCTGCGCGGTGGGTCACGGCCTGGACCACTGGCGGCAGCAGGTCTGAACGGGACCCCGAGTGCACAGAGCCCGTGGCATGGGAGAGCCCCCACTCGCTCAGACCGGCCCAGGGTGTCGAGTGGCTCTGGCGGGACACCGGAGCCCTGGCAGGGGGCGATGGGGCTGCGGGAGAGTGCTGGATCCGCTGTAGGCCCCTGGGTTTGTCCTGTGTGCCTGGGGTAGTCAGACCGGTGGCATCGCAGCCCCGGTGCCTGCACGTCCTCGAGTCTCTACCCCCTTCCAGTGGCCTTCTGGACTCTGCACCTGCTGCGACAGTGCCCTGGGCCCGAGAAGGGGCTGCAAGGTGGTGCCCATTTCTAGCCCCCGGGCTCCTTGGGCCTGAAGGGCAGTGGGGCTGGTGACGTTCCTGGTCGCCCGCTTGCCCCGTGTGCTTGCCCTCCGCTTCTGTTTGGCCCATGAGCTCTTCAGGGCCGTCAGCAGCTCTCTGTCCGCACAAGGCCGCGCACAGCACGGGCACTGCTGGAAACCCGGAGCTGAGAACTGGAAATGAGTCAGCCTAGGGGATAGGACATTCGTCTGGGGACCCTCGAGTGGTGGGTTCGAGTACCGCGCCCCCTCCCCCCCACCTTGGTAGCAAAGAAATAGTTCCACTGCCAGATGCCCTAGAAGAGCCATCAGCCTGGGCAGCCCTGGCATCTGGGTACTCGGGGAACTCCTCTTACCCCTCCACTGACCTGTGGGGGAGCCACTTTCGCTCCAGCCTCACCCTCTGTTCTGAAGCAGACTTCCCGGGCTCAAGCCGTGTCTGATTACACAGCTAAGTCAGTCCAGGCTCGGTTCACAGGCGGCCACGGCCTGGTCACTGCAGTGTTTTCACGTCCACGTCGCCCTGCTCCTGGTGGTGGCGTGAGTCCTCCCCAGCAGAGCTCGCGCTGACTTAAGAGGGCGGTGGTGAGGGGGGAGGCTGAGGCTCTGGATGGCCGCTTGGCTCCAGCTGTCAGGGCTGCTGGGGCTCCCAGCCGGGACGTTCCCTCCTGCCCTCCCCTGCTTAGTTTCAGAACCGGGACACTACTAGTGTGAAATTCTCTTCTTGTCAATTTCACAGCTCCAGCTGGCAGCCAACCGGGGAGGTAAGTAACCTGCTGTCTTCGCAGGTGCTGCAGCACCTGGACCTGGGGTGGTTTCAGGGGGCCCTTGACCAAGCGGGGCCAACATGAGACTTGCTGAGACCTGAGGACGGTTAGAGAAGCACAGGGCGGAGGTGGGTTCGCTAGCTCAGTGCAGCATGTGTGTTTCAGTGGCAGGAGGAACCGTCGCACACACGCTTGTGTAGCCAGGCCGCTGGCAGCTGCCTGACGTTGACTGAACTTTGTGGCCTAGACGTGCTGTAGCTGTGCTGGAATGACCAATGGCCTTGAGTCTGAAGCAAAATGTCCCTTGAGAATCAGTGATGGTCACCGGGTGGGTTCTGGGGTGTTGGAGACAATGCAGGGGAAGGAAAAGCTTGTATTGGAACAGGTTGTGTTGCTGCCAGAGCCGAGCTGCGCACACCTCCCTTTCGGGGCTGGAAAAGCTACCAGCAGTCTGGAGCTACGTCCGGGGTGGAACAGACCCATCAGCACTCGGCACGTCTTCGGCAGGGCCAATCCAGGTGAAGTGGCTGCTATTAACGAGCACTTCTGCCAGGCTCGAGAGCTGCGATGCTCTCACTACGTTCCCCCGGCCTCAGGGGAGCTCATCTCTCTCCCCAGCAGAAATTGGTCCAGGACGAGAGATGAACTCCCCCACCTTGTCCCCCTTGAAAGTCAGCGCAGGACTCCTGCCCTGGATCTTGGCTGCTGGCTTACACTAGTCTTCGAGTCATCCAGATGCACCTGCTGTCCACTCTCAGGGCTTGTCTATGGAAGCAGCTACCAGCCACCGGGCAGTGAAATTCTATTTTTGTGCCTGGCTTGGCTGAGCCAGGACTGCTGTGCTTCTCTGTGGCCGAAAGGGCCCAGCTGCTAAGCCCTGGATCTTTACATCCAAAATGCACAGAACTCTTCCCATGCGGCGTGGGCTCGTGATGAGACTAACACCGCTGGTCATAGCTGAAATGGGTGCGATCGTTTGGTCCCGTGCAGCCTTGCTCTTCGCTCCTCTTGTGTTTTTCAAGCTGCTCCATGCGCAGGACTGACCCGCGTGGCTGACCGGGATGGAGAGCAGATTGGCGCCGAGATCTAGCTGTATCCAGCTCCTGCCGAACTTCCCTGCGCTTCCCAAAGTGTGACCCCTCCCCCCCCAGCCAAGCCCCGCTCACAGCAGGTTTGCTGTCCAGTTCGTGTCCACATCCCACCGGCGTCCTTCAGGGACGTGACGGTGACGGTGCCTGCGGCGATGGGAAGCGACGGGCCCGGTACAGGATTCAGATCTCAGGGATTGTAAAAAAATGAACCCAGCCCACGCTCCTGGGCAGCATGTGTCCAGTGGCTGGAGCGGGAGACATTTCACCTGTAAATCCTCAGAGGCAGGACACTACACGCCCCGGGATCTGATTGCAGATGAGGTGGAGAGGGCTGGATTCAGTTCTGGACTCTGCGAGACTTACCCTTCTCTAGGTCTCAAGTTTTCCATCCGTAGCAATGGCAATACCTGCAGGCGGGCCGGGAGTTAGGGCAGGTCTTTTCACAGCTGGGTCGATGGGCAGCGATCCATCCAGCAGGGGTCGATTTATCCTGGCTAGTGCAGATGCGCTAAATCAACTGCCGAGTGCTTTAACGTCAACTCGGTACTTCTCCAAAACGAGACGAGTAAGCGGAGTTGACAGGAGGGCGTCAGCTGTTGGCCTGCTGTGGTGAAGATACTAAGCAGACCCGGGTACCTCACCTTCCGCCACGGTACTTCCCCTAGCTGGAGTTGCGTAACGCAGGTTGCTGGCCAGGTGTCTCTATGGTGCCGAGACGAAAAGCCCTGCGGAAGGGCACGGGTATGGCTTGATCCTGAGCCATTGAACACCAGCTGTGTCCCTCCCTGCAGTGACCCCCTTTCTGTGCACACACGGGCCTTAGCCCTCCCGCTCCCCGTGCGCCAGTAGGTGAGGAAAACGAACCGCCAGGGAGCGCAGAGCAGCCCTGGGTGCAGCCAGTTGGTTGTTTTTCCTCTGACCCTCCTTGCCCGTGTTCCTGGCTGAGCGCGCCGGTCCCCTCTCCAGCCCGCTGGCCTCGGGAGGGCTAGTGTCTGGCAGCGAGCAGGGCGCTAGCCTCGCTGGGGTGCTCCCCCCCCCCCCCTCAAATGGGTGTTTGTTCTTGGGCAGAATACGCCCGTGAGCAGGGGTGGGAATAGCCGCTGTCTGCGTGGCTGCTTCTAACGGGCCGATTGTCCGCACTCGTTTGGCAGCAGAAATGACGTTCCCGTTAATCCCGGGGACCCTGGGTGCTGACCGTGGGCAGGGCGTAAGGACTTCTCCGGGATTTCTTGCTGCAGTTCACTTGCCTGCTATCTTAGCCTTGCCAGTTTATCCGAGGCCCTGAGCAGCTTTGAAATGCCGGTTGTGTGCTCGCTTTGGGGAGCAGCCGGATGTCGTTCCGCCTTGCTCCCGCGATGGCGTTGTCTTGGTATCAGGGCGGATTGCTGTTGTAAACCACTTAACGTCGCGCCATAACCGGGGCCGGCTCTTCAGAGAACACGGCCGAGGCGCTCCGCCCTCCCCTGAGCTTCCATCCCCCCCGAACGTAGCACGTGCCCTTGGCATGGCCAGAGCCCCCCCCCAACTCGTGCACCTCACTTCCCGAAGGGGGACGGTCGCCTGGAGGGGCTGGAGAACAGACTCTTCTCGTTGTGCGTCGCACAGCGCAGTGCAAGCAGTGCTGAGGGGGGCTGTGTGGGATCTCCTACAGGAACAGGGGGGAGGGAGATATTTGCGGGGGGAGGCCAAGATCGCATGACTAGCTTGTGGTCCAGTGCCACAGGCTGGGCCGGCAGCCCCGCAGTTAACTGTGTAGCCGATAGAACTGTTACCGGTTCCACGCTGAACGTTTCCATATATTGCTGTATCCCTCGTGGGAAGGCCGTGGCCCTCCTGGCCCCCCAGGTTCTGGGCCCCACAAAGTGGGTGGCTTTCCTCTTGTGTAAGCGTTCCTCGCCAGAGTCTCAGCGGCGGGGGGGAAGGGGGAGCCTTGGTCTGTTTCAGCAAAAACAACAGGAGTCCTGTGGCAGCTGAGGGATGGGTTGATTTGGGCGGAAGCTTTCCTGGGTTGGAGCCTGCTCCCTCAGATACGTCTCTACGGGGCTCCCCGTTGGAGTGGAGCAGTTTTAAGGGGATTCTTCCTCCCCTTCTCCCAGAGCAGGCTCCCCCGCCCCTGCAGTGCCATTTTCCTTCCCTCGCAGCCTCTGGGTGCGAAGCAGGAAGGGGGGTCGAGGGGGCTGGAGCCAGCGAATGGAATGGCCCCCGAGTCTTACCAGGCTCACGAATCCCCGGCGTGCACACAGCAGAGACGCACCAGCGAGTACGGCAGCCGGCTTCCGTGTGGGGAAACGTTCTGCGGGAACCGCGTCATCCGCGCCCGACTGAGCAGGGCGCCGGCACGCGCCTCTTCACAGCCCCGGGACGTGGCGCGTCTCCCGGCTCCGCACATGAATGGGGTGGGGGGGCCTTCGTCCCTCCCCCTCCCGCCCCCGGAAATGCCCCATGCGGGTGACACTTGGATTCAGCATCTGAAAATGCCTCCCCCTTTTGAACGTCGCCCCCGGTCCTGCGCCCGCGGGAGGTGAGCCGGGGTCCGCGCCAGGGCTGTGCCCACGCAAACACCTCCCTCCTTGGGCCAGGTTCTTCGTGTGGCTGTTCACCCTGCTCCCTTGCAGAGTCACAGCTGTCCCATGCCCCCCCACCCCGCCTGGGGTTGCCAGGGCAACGGGCAAGTGTTACCCCATCGGCATCCTGCTCGGAATCTGGCTGCCGGGGGCTTTCCGAGGGTCGCCTGGGGCTCCGAGAAGCTGCCGCGAGCAAAGCAAGCCCGGGCCAACCAGAGGGACCCTGCTTTCGCTCCCTGTTCGGGCAGGGGGTCGGTTTCCCACCCGATTCCCTTGTGACCTGCCCCGAGCAGGCTGCTCACCATCGTCCACCCTCCCCTGCTAGCGAGGGCCACCCCGGCTGCTGGCTCCTCCGCCCAGCTACCTGCTTTCCTGATGCTCGGGCTGGGACCGTGTAGTCAATAGCCTGGACTCGTCGATGAACCCTCTCGGGTACGTGCAGCCCCCCCCCTCGCTGTCAGGGGAGGCGATGCGTGTGGGGAGCCGGCTCCCATGGAGCCCCCTCCACCCCACCCGCTGCTGCCTCCCCCCCGGGCAGGGGACTGGGCAGACGACCCCTCGAGTCCCTTCCAGCCCTAGGCTAGTTTTTAAGATAACCGTCCTCAGCCAGTCACGCTTCTTCAAAACTCCCATCTCCCTGTGCCTCAGTTTCCCTTCCTCCCCCCTTTCCTCACCTTGTTGTTTGTCTGCCTTTTTCCCACCTGTCCCCTCCCATCTAACACTCTGGGCTGTAAGCCTCCTGGCACAGGGACCGATGACGCCGACTTTGTGCACACCATGGAGCTGTGAGCCAGGACCCGGGTTCGCGTGTGCCGTGCCGGAACACCCAGGCTCTCTTGCAGCCCTTCCCAACAGCAGGTCTCAAAATGGCCTATAAAAGTGTGCATCGTGGAAGGGGAAACTGAGGCACGGCACGACACAGGGATTTGCTCAAGGTCACCCAGTAGGTTAGTGGCACTGCCAGGAATTGAACCCGGATGGCTGACGGCCTAGGCTCCTGCTCTGTGCACTGGACCTTGCTGCTTCCATACGTGGATGTGCAAGTGTGTGTCCTGTAACCAGCCCGGGGGGCTTCATTCACAAGGCAGTGGCACCCCAGATTTCAAGGGCCTCTGGTCCGGAGCTGCTTCCCCACCAGTTGAATCACTCTGGGGCTGCCCCCGCTTGGAGCTGCAGTAGAGAGGGGCGGTAGCTGCATCGGTTACTGCATTTCCAAGCCCGCCTGGGGCCCTGACATGCCGGGATCCGCACACAGCTGTGGCCGTCTCCTGTGTCCAGCGCCAGCTGGGTCCGTTCATCTGAGAGTCTTCTCATCCGCCCCTGCCCGCCCCAGACACAGCCA